CCATATCGAAATGTAGTATCTAATCCATTTGATTCGTTGTTGTGATAATCGGGAGGCAATGCGTAGAGCCCTGCGCTTCAATTCTACATAGAACGAAGCTATAAATTCGATAAAGCACCAAAGATACCATATCTAGCCTCATTCAGGCTCGTTGACTTATCTAGAGCCGAAAGAAAAAAGAATATAATAAAGACCAAATGTGAAAGAATATCGAGGCGAGATCCAGCGAGAGCAGAAGCAGACAGCTACACAGCCATCACGTGCCTCACCTTAGTCATCAATCTAGTCCCGCCGCCGAACTTCACCTCACGTCTTCTTGATATTTTCATCGCGAGACATCAGCGCATCACCCTCCACGCCCCCAAGGTCGCTGCTATTGTCCGTTTTTGATCCGAATGTAGCTGCTGTTACCCCTGCCTGGGAGTGTTCGTTCTCTTTCTCGTCTTTGGGATCACCACAACCGCCACCATGTCCGACGGTAGGTAGCCTCCAGATCGCGGACCTTGCTTCTGATGATAGGCTGACAACCCCTTCTAGCTGATTTCGAAGCCGTCCGGAAGCTCCAAGCTGAGCGGAACGCTGCTGCATCTGCGAAGAAAGGTTCTAGGACCTTTGATCCGTCTAGCCAGCGCACTGACAACTCGACCAAGGCCTCCCTGACTGAATCCTTCGATACCACCCTCTACGAACGCGAGGGCGCTGACAAGTATGCGGGATACGACATGTCCATCGCCGTCAATGGCGAAGATGAAGAAATGGAGGATGCGGACGGAGGCCACCGTCTGGTGGGCCAATATACCGCGACAAGGAGCCAGATCGATGAATTTGCCCAAGGAAATGGTGTGGAAGAGGAGGACGTTCTCCTAGGACGCGAAAAGGCGGCCAGAATCGCTGATCGCGAGACGGACTATCAGAAGCGTCGCTTCAATCGTGGTCCGCTGACGCCTACACGCGCTGATCCGTTTGCCGCGAACGAACATGCAAACGTGGAAGGAGAGGGCCAGACCTACCGTGAGGTTATGGCTCTACGTGAGCTTGAAAAAGAAGAAGAGCGTGTTCAGAAGCTGATCGCAGAGAAGCAGGCCCGTGGGGAGGACGATGTTCAGGAGCATGAGGCCACCTTGAAGTCGGAGGACAAAGAAAACGCTGAAGCTGGCTCGACCGTTTCGGTCGCCACCGGTCGCAAGCGTAAACAACGGTGGGATGTGTCATCCGAGCCTACTGAGTCGGCTGAAGCTGAGGCCCCGCAGCCCGCAGACACCAAAGCCAAGAGATCTCGCTGGGATCAAACGCCTGCGCCTGCTGTTCCTGGCGCCGCCGCCGAGGAAGCTCCTAAGCGTCGTTCTCGATGGGATCAAGCCCCAGCCATTGCGGCATCCACCCCAGTGGGTAACCAAGGGCTTGCTACCCCGATGCATCCTTCTCAAGTAGGTGTGCCTATTATGCCCACCAGCTTTGGAACTGATATCTCTGCGCGCAATGCTCCTCTGTCTGATGAAGAACTTGATATGATGCTGCCCTCGGAGGGCTACAAGATCCTCGAGCCTCCTCCGGGCTATGCCCCTATTCGCAACCCGGCGAGAAAGCTTATGGCGACACCGGCACCTATGGCCAGTGCGACGGGAGTCGGAGGATTCATGATGCAGGAGCCGGAGAGCGCTCGCGCGATGGGCAAGCAGCTACCGACTGAAATCCCCGGTGTTGGTGACTTGCAGTTCTTCAAGCCCGAAGATATGGCCTACTTTGGAAAACTTATGGAAGGTGGGGACGAGAGTGCGATGTCCGTGGAAGAGTTGAAGGAAAGGAAGATTATGAGACTGTTGCTGAAAGTGAAGAACGGCACTCCGCCTATGAGGAAGACTGCCCTGCGTCAGCTCACAGACAACGCGCGGCAATTCGGTGCCGGCCCCCTCTTCAACCAGATTCTTCCGCTTTTGATGGAAAAGTCCCTCGAAGATCAAGAGCGCCACTTGTTGGTCAAGGTTATTGACCGTGTCCTGTACAAGCTGGATGATCTCGTTCGCCCTTATGTTCACAAGATTTTGGTCGTCATCGAGCCCCTGCTCATTGACCAAGACTACTATGCTCGTGTCGAGGGTCGTGAGATCATTTCCAACTTGGCCAAGGCCGCTGGTCTTGCCACGATGATCAGTACGATGCGTCCCGATATTGACCATGTCGATGAGTATGTCCGTAACACGACAGCTCGAGCATTTGCTGTCGTTGCTTCTGCTCTTGGTATTCCTGCGCTCCTGCCCTTCCTTCGTGCTGTGTGTCGGAGTAAGAAGTCGTGGCAGGCCAGACACACCGGTGTCAAGATCGTCCAGCAAATTCCTATCCTTATGGGTTGCGCCATTCTTCCCCATTTGAAGGGTCTGGTCGACTGCATTGCCGACAACCTCAGCGACGAACAAGCTAAAGTCAGAACCGTCACTGCCTTGGCCGTGGCTGCTTTGGCTGAAGCTGCCAACCCGTACGGTATTGAGAGTTTCGATGAGATCCTCAACCCCTTGTGGACCGGAGCTCGGAAGCAGCGTGGTAAGGGTCTGGCAGCCTTCTTGAAGGCCGTTGGTTACATCATCCCTCTCATGGACGAGGAGTACGCCAACTACTACACTAGTCAGATCATGGAGATCCTTCTGCGTGAATTTTCCTCCCCCGACGAGGAGATGAAGAAGGTTGTCTTGAAGGTAGTATCGCAGTGTGCTAGCACTGACGGTGTGACAGCCAGCTACCTAAAGGAACACGTGTTGACCGACTTCTTCAAGAGTTTCTGGGTGCGTCGTATGGCTCTGGACAGGAGGAACTACCGCCAAGTTGTTGATACGACCGTGGACCTCGGCCAGAAGGTCGGCGTGGGTGAGATTCTGGAGCGTGTTGTGAACAACCTCAAGGATGAGAGCGAGCCCTACCGGAAGATGACTGTGGAGACCGTGGAGAAGCTTATTGCAGCCCTTGGAGCTGCTGATATCTCCGAGAGACTGGAGGAACGACTCATTGATGGTGTTCTCTATGCTTTCCAAGAACAGAGCATCGAGGACATCGTGATCTTGAACGGGTTCGGAACAGTGGTCAACGCCCTGGGCACTCGCTGCAAGCCTTACCTCCCTCAGATTGTCAGTACCATCCTCTGGCGGTTGAACAACAAGTCCGCCACGGTCCGTCAGCAGGCTGCGGATCTGATCTCGCGTATTGCAATGGTCATGAAGCAGTGTGGAGAAGACGCTCTGATGGGCAAGCTTGGTATCGTGCTCTACGAATACTTGGGTGAGGAGTACCCCGAGGTGCTTGGTTCCATCCTTGGTGCTCTCCGTTCGATCGTCACTGTCGTTGGTATCAACCAGATGCAGCCTCCTATCAGAGATCTGCTGCCTCGACTCACTCCTATCCTGCGTAACCGTCACGAGAAGGTGCAGGAGAACACCATTGATTTGGTCGGTCGTATCGCCGACCGTGGCCCCGAATCGGTCAACGCCCGTGAATGGATGCGTATCTGCTTCGAGCTGCTGGACATGCTGAAGGCTCACAAGAAGGGTATCCGTCGTGCTGCTAACAACACATTCGGTTTCATCGCCAAGGCCATCGGTCCCCAGGATGTGTTAGCGACGCTGCTGAACAACCTTCGTGTCCAAGAGCGTCAGTCCCGTGTCTGTACTGCCGTCGCCATCGGTATTGTGGCTGAGACTTGTGCGCCTTTCACCGTCCTGCCGGCCCTGATGAACGAATACCGTGTTCCCGAACTGAACGTCCAGAACGGTGTGCTCAAGGCCATGTCCTTCTTGTTCGAGTACATTGGCGAGATGGCCAAGGATTACGTCTATGCGGTCACGCCTCTTTTGGAGGATGCTCTTATCGACCGTGACCAGGTGCACCGGCAGACCGCAGCCAGTGTTGTCAAGCACATCGCGCTGGGCGTGGTTGGTCTGGGTTGTGAAGATGCCATGGTGCATTTGCTGAACCTGGTGTTCCCCAACATCTTCGAGACCAGTCCCCACGTCATTGACCGTGTCATTGAAGCCATTGATGCGATCCGGATGGCAGTCGGCACCGGTGTGGTCATGAACTACGTATGGGCGGGCTTGTTCCACCCGGCGCGCAAGGTGCGCACGCCATATTGGCGACTGTACAACGATGCGTACGTGCAGAGTGCGGACGCGATGATTCCCTACTACCCCGGCCTGGAAGACGATGGTCTGGACCGGACTGAGTTGTCTATCATAGTTTGAACAAAAGCTATCCAGCGCGTGTCATTTACCATCATCTTCTCTGTCTCTGTACCCTTTTTCTGCCGTGTGCTTTTCCATCTATCTTCAACATATTGGGGCTTGTTCAATTACGGTGTTTCTCTGGCGGGATTTGGCGTGTCTGAACCATCTTTATCTAAGATATAGTAGTCTATGGCAATATCCAACATTTTAACGTTCAATTTAATTCTATCCCAATCTACTTTCCTTCGGACACTTTCTGTAAGCCAACTCAGTAGTCAATGAACTGATTGAGACGATCGATCTCTCTGTTCCCGATCGATCCTTGACTACTTTCTCCCCGCAATTCCAGCGTGGGGAGCACCCGCACTCAGACTCCGCGCATCATGCCATGCGATCGTTAGTTTTCGAGATCCGAGTTACTCTCCCGATCACTCCAACAAAGCTATCCACTTTTCTCCCTAACATTCCTGTGCTACCTCCGATGACATCAAGCAGCACTGCCCAGACCGACCGGAAAGACTCCCTCCGCCTTCCCCCGTGGCACCGACGGAGCATAACTCTCCGTTTCCCAACCGCCATCCCATCATCGGCACCATCCCCGCCGTCTGTCACTACATACAAAGCCGCAGGCAACTTGAGCACAGATCCCAGAGCACTATGTATCTACTTGATGCGATGATCATCATTCTCCTCTCCTTGGCAGACTAAATGCACTAATGCTCTTTCTTTGACGCATACACGCACACACGCACGCACAGGCACATACACACACAATCAAATCTCTCAAGCACCATGGCTCTCCCCTCAGAATGCGATGTGCTCGTCATTGGCGGCGGTAATGCCGGTTTCTGTGCAGCCATTTCGGCCGTCCAAGCCGGCGCAAAACACGTTGCCATTATCGATAAATGTCCGGAAGAATGGGCAGGAGGTAACTCCTACTTCACGGCGGGGGCGATGCGTACCGTCCACGGCGGATTGCCGGATCTGCTTCCCATCGTGAATAATGTCGATGCGGAAACGGCGAAGAAGATCGATATGAAGCCATATACCGTGGATGACTTCACGGGCGACATGAATCGTGTTACAGGGCGGCGCACGAATCGCGAGCTCTGCCAGACACTCGTCAATGAGTCGAACTCGGCGATCAAGTGGCTGGCGAGTAATGGTGTACGATTCCAGCTCTCTTTCAATCGACAGGCGTATGAAGTCAACGGTCGGCTCAAGTTCTGGGGCGGTCTTGCGCTGAAGACTCAAGACGGCGGCAAGGGTCTTATTCAGGATCACTTGCAAGCAGCCCGGAGACTGGGTATCCAGGTCTTCTTCTCGACCGCTGCTCAGAAACTAGTAACAGACCCGGTCTCTGGAGCCGTGACGTCCGTGGTGGTTTCGCATCATGGCCGCGACCAGACTATCCGGGCTGGAGCTGTGATTCTCGCGGCCGGAGGCTTCGAGGGTAACCCGCGCATGCGCGCGCAGTACCTTGGACCACACTGGGACGTAGCGCTGGTGCGCGGCACGCCCTATAACTCCGGGGATGGATTCGAGATGGCAATCCGGGATGTCTCAGCCAAGCAGGCGGGCAACTGGTCGGGATGTCACTGTGTGGCGTGGGATGCTAACGCGCCGGCCGATACGGGCGACCGGGAGATCTCCAACGAGTTCACCAAGTCCGGGTATCCGTTGGGCATCATGATCAATCGGCAGGGAAACCGGTTCGTGGACGAGGGGTCGGATCTGCGCAACTATACGTATGCGATGATCGGACGCCAGATTCTCAACCAGCCCGGCCACATGGCGTTCCAGATTTGGGATTCCAAGATGATCCCTTGGTTGCGATCGGAGGAGTACCGGCCGGAGGTGGTGCAGCATATCAGCGCTGCCACGATCAGTGAGCTGGCGGAGAAGTGCGCCGAGTTTGATCTCGAAGATAAGAAGCGCTTCGAGCAGACCATCCATGACTATAACAAGGCGGTTTATGAGCGCCAGCGCAGGCATCCGGATGGGAAATGGGATCCGGCTGTCAAGGATGGACTTACCACGCAGTCCGAGGGCTTGGAGCTGGCAGTGCCCAAGTCAAACTGGGCGCTTCCTATCGATCAGGGACCGTTCCTGGCTGTTCGAGTCACGGCAGGCATCACTTTCACGTTTGGTGGACTGGCGGTTCGTCCGGAGACAGCCGCGGTGGTGTCGTCGACGACAAACCAGGAGGTGCCTGGATTGTACTGCGCGGGCGAGATGCTGGGAGGACTGTTCTATGATAACTATCCTGGAGGCAGTGGATTGACGTCGGGAGCTGTCTTTGGACGACGAGCTGGTCGGGCTGCGGCGGCGAGAGTGTCGAACCGACAGGCACGGTTGTAGTGGCTGCTATAGTAGAGTATGCGATAGGATATATACAAGTGAGTGCTTGGTAGCAAACATATAGCAGGAATAATATACTATGTTTACTACACCAACATCTACAGTAGACTTCGATACCATAAATCTTAGTAGTACCAGTATCATGAACCACTCTAAGCAGCGACACCTACATTGGAATATTGCAACAATGACCCAATATATAAATATCCTCGACCATATAAAATATACTACCAACTAAGAATCACATCCACTACTATCTAATTCCCACATACACTTAACAACCGAACTACAACAAAATATCCCTACTCCAGAAAAACACATACACCACACTCTCCCTGTACAGACAAAAACTTGCAGTGATTGTGTAACCGACCCAGCTGCACCCTCATCCAGGAACAGAAAATGACAGTAGTGAAGTAAAAAAGCAATGAGGTCATTCCTCCCTTGCCATTCTCTTTCCCCTCTCACCCATCAACCACATCACAATAATAATCGTTATTTACAAAAATACGACATCAACCCACACCCCCATCACCCAAAACGCACGAACCACCCAACCAACATCTGAACAATCTCATCACCATCATCATCACCATCACGAAAATACAAAACCCAAATCCATACACGCAAGCCAGCCCACTACCCTAGGTACAGCCCGCCAAGGGCCCCTGCAACCCTGCAGCAGGGCAACAAGCAGCAACAACAATAATAACAAATTCCAACAATGACAATGACCAAAAAAACCCGAAAAGAGAACAGTAAATAAGTAGTGACTTTACAACTTTTACTCCTCTGAGTCTAGTTAACTTAACGGAGTTAGTAAGTAAGTACAGTTAGGTATGTTGCCGCGTAAGCCTTCTCCATCAGCCCATGTCATGTGTGGGCTTGGCCCTGCTTGTTCCGTGTTGTGGGGAAAGGAGCACAACCCATTTGGTGGGATCTTATTGGTTGGGGGATGGTTGGTGGTGGTGGGTGGTGGGGTTTACTACCTAGGAGGTGGGGAGGGTCCGTCAACTAAGTCCAAACTCGTAGGTTGGCCTTTTTGGTATGACGGGATGAGATGGATGATGACTGAGATGATGGTGGTGGTGGTGGGTGTGGGTCTCTTCAGCTTCTTTTCCAATTTACTTAGTTTATGTCTTTGGGGATTAGTTGAGTTGCCTAATATGGTAGGTCTATGGAGGTAACCTAGTAGATAGGTAGTTCTTTTTTTATATATGTTGATGATAATGATGACATTCTTGGTGGGAGGTGCTTTTTCCAATTTGGGATTGTGGATGATTCGCTTGGTTCTATCGGTTAGTATTCATTCTATTGTTTCTATAGATTGTATCGTGGTTTTTTAACATGAGTAGGTAGCTAGCTAGTTGTGAAGAGGCTTGAGCGCTGTAACTATTCAGTCAGTGACGATGGTGATGATGATGATGATGATGATGACCTAAGCGCAGTTGAACATCGGAGGTGACTACGAAGAATACCTAGTTATTGGTTCGGAGGAGTTGTGTTCACAGTAACTACTGACTGTCTAGACATCAGACATCCAAGTCAAGTAACTAACCTAAAGCACAGACATCAACAATACCTCTGTCAAGAGTTGCCTTAATTAACTTCCTCTGCCTTACAAAATACAGAATCGGAAACTTATCACACCATGTACCGCAACACCTCCGTAAGCTAACCTAGGAAGTATAACCAGCAACAAGCATATGATCAATCCCATTTCCCCATTCCCATCACTATCACCATATTATCCAGGCACACATGCATTTGGACTACTGTACTCCGTGCCGGGAAAAGAGATAGAAAGCAAAAAAAAGGGCAGGCAGTGCATGCAGCTGAAGTCGTCATCACATTAATTGCAATTAGCATTGGGCATACATCTATCTGCATGAGGAATGGAAAGAAAAAATAAATGAATAATTCATTTATGCCTAGGCCCCCTTCTATTTTTCCTTTCTGCACCACATGGGCCCCTGCTCATTTTTACTGACTAGTGTTTTCTCTCTCCCTCAGATGCAACCCTACTTTTAGCTTCGGATTGATAGGATAAGATTTGTGGAAATAATTTCCAGGGTCGTAGTTGGTAATAAGTCAAGGTGGGCGGGTGCGCCATCATTCATTATCCCTTGTTCTACAGTAGTTAGTTATTCATTTTCGACTTAGTCATGTTATTGTTCGGCATGACAAAGCTTGGTTTGGAAGTAAGCAAAGGGTTATTGTTTGCGATTCCGAGGGAACATGTGAAGCCGAATTGAATCCAGATGAGGAGAAGGAAGAGGGTGGAAGGAGGTCTTGGTAGCTAATAGTTTTGGATTCGTGGTTTGTTTCAATCTCACACCCTCACTCTCTCTCCTCCCCTACCCCTGTAAAGGGAGAGATTAAGGTATGTCGGATGCCCACTAACTAGTTAGGTACTGTAGTTAGCGATGAAGTTAGTGAACCGAAAGAAAGAAGGAAAGAGAGACCACGACACGAGCGCTTATGACGTCTAACAGCTTCCTTCTTGGCGTTAGTTTCGAATGCAGGGTCCTCTTAGAACCAAGAGTTATATTAATAGAAAATACAGAAGAAATGGCAATTTAAAATCTAATTAACAATATATAAAAAAAGGTCATCAGAAATTAAAAACGCAGATTCAATCCATGGTACCGCTCGCACACTACGTACTACTTGCTTGGATCACTCATCAGCAGGAACGCATTGATCAAGCGCTAGGAACTAGTTTGAACCCGATGTGCCGTTGGCGATTTCAAATCGCGGCTCCATTTTAATATACTAATAAATAATTGAATAAATGAAAAAATAAAGAGGATGATGGAAACTGGAACTTATTTTGCGCGCACGAACACACACACACACACACACACACACAAGTCGAATTTAATCAACTCGAGACACAATCAGATAAACTCATCCCATCAAAATGTTTCAGATTCGTAAGTCAATAAAGATGACAATGACGACTACTGCTTCTGCGGGATGACATCTGTCTATCTTTAGTGTGTATGATTGATACTCACGAGGACTCTCACCCACGACTGAGTCACTACCATACATCCATCACCTTTTTGTGACATCCCGCCAAGGGGGTGATGCTGGTGGTGGCTTGCTCCACTTCCTGCACACTAGACTCGTTTCTGTCCCGTCGGGGGGATCCTAGAGACGCGGCTGTCGCAGGAAGCTTAGTCGGTTTGATTCTCATTCAGGGTCCTACACTACGGAGTATCATGGCTGCTGCTGGTGCTGATGGTGGCGGTTTTTGGTTTTTCCCCTTTTCGGTGTCCGCCGCCTTGATGTCAATGTCTCATGTGTCGTGCACGTCTTGTCTGGGCTTGTCTTGTCTCAGGGATATCGTCGGAAATCCCCGCAAATGTAGGTACGGATAGAAGTGTTACGTACATCTCCTGCTGTACATACGAATAAGAAGCAGTACTCCGTAGTGTAGGAGGTAGATACTCCGTAGGTGGCTCTTCCCCCCTCCTTCCTCGGGTGGTGGTGGTACAGAGTTTGGAGTACATCCACCGCGCACAGATGTATGCTGTCAGGTGAGCTGAAGATAACGGTCAGGGATGTTGGCATTAGACCAGTCTTCTTTTACTTTTTACCACCCACGCAACAAACCCCTGAAATTATCACCTCACATCCCAGTCATCAATATGCAGTAGTTAGTAGTAGGAGTCAGGTTCGGGTTCTGCTTTCCCTATGTTGTTGTGTGTGAATAAGAAATTAAAATAAAAAGAAAAAACATCTAGAACGAAACAGGACATTGCACTGGCGCTTGGATAATGTCATTGTTATTATTAGAACCGTTTAATAAAAAGAAAAATAAGATTGTTGCGTTCGAGAGAGCTGGCAATAATTACGACCTTCCGAGAGAAGCGTAGTCTCTTTGGCAGCAAACGGTGGTGGCATCCATCCAGTGCCCTTCCGTAACTTCCCACGGAAGAGAGGGGAGGGGGGAAGTGATATCATGGCCAAGCCAACCAGAGCTCAGTTACATGTTCTTGAAGAGTAAACCCGGTGGAGCCCGGACTGGCGTTAGAACTTCATTTTTGACCAACCCTTTCGACAGGGCCAAGAAATGAGCCGGCGCGTTTCAGGTGGCTGCTAGCCCGCAACCCTGAGAGTGGCAGTGTCCTGGTGGGTGGTGGAGCCCGCCAGGATCGCACGCAGGGATTCTGGTCAACGGGCTTGCGGGGTTCAGAATGGAGGCCGATACGGGCTTTGTCTTCTTGACTTTTGCACAGAGTTAATTAGAGTTGTTTGGGTAATGTCTATCTTTTTCGTTTGTCTGGTTTAGATTCTATCTGTAACTAAGCGAAAAGCGAAAACAAAACCTACCACTGTGCTGGGTGAGTACTTACAGAACGTTCTGAATAAGATGATTTCTAGAGTAAATTTTCGAAAAAAGCAGGTTTGCATGGCCTGCGCGCTGCGTAAATTATATCCATCCAATAACTATGATAATTCGATATAATAAAAACATGACAAAAGAAACCCTTGCTGACAACAAACCATATACTGAAACGGGGAAAGCATCGCCCCAATGAGGTATAGCGCTGTGAGATGTGCACGCGTCAGCTCCTGTGGGGCCCCCTCTGTGATTGGGTTATCTGTATGAGCCAAGCTCGGCTATCGACTATCTGCCGTCCCCCGGGGATGTGGCTAACATGCCCTCCCTGCTTTTGCTTAGTCCAGGGATTGAGAAAATTGAATCATAGCGTGGTTTGCCAATAGCGTGACTGGTGATTTCTGCTTGTTGCGTTTGGATCTTAGTTTGCACGCTAAACCAGACCTGACCCGCCCATGGCTCCTCTCTCTACCTCTGTACCTTCTGTTGGATGGAGTTACTTCCCACCGAGACTTGCAAGTCCTCATTCTAGGCATGTAAGTATGTATGTATGCATGTACAGGCGACGGAATCTCACGGCAAATGCTTTTGCTGCTTACTTTCTTTACCTGCGACGCAGATTGCTTAACTTCTTACATTTCCATCGGGC